ACATACAAATAAAGTGTGTGTTTCATGAAAGCCTAAAACTATGAACACTAGAAGGTTTTGGCACAATATATGCAACAATATTGTACTTTAAGAACTTTATTTGAGCTTAATGTGCTACCTTTGAAGACTGAGTTACTGACCTATTACTGACTAGGTTACCTCTCTCTTTAAAAGGTTTTGGATAGTTATGTTTAATCAAACTTCTCTGAGGGTCTTTTTCCTTATTAGGACGCTAAAATAAGTATGACATAATTTTTAAACCCTTCATAATATCTGTTATAAAAGAGCCCAGTACTACAACTAGTGGTGAACTGTGATTGATTTCTGGTTTTGGGCAGTGCATTTACTAACAGCAGTCTGTATTTGTTCAAGTTACAACTTTTTTTAGTGAAATAGTTATTTCTATGTATCATTTTCCCCTAACAATGTTGTATGAAGAAGACAGATCAGGAGGCTAAAGTATATAAGGCTGAAAATGTTGATAATGTAGAAATACTAACTATATGCATCTCCTTCACAATACACATCTTTTCCTATATTTGCAATCAGTAGTTGTGAGTATTAGTAGCTGTTGAGTTGTATTATTTCTTAATTCTGTGAGAGAATTAGCTGTGCTATACTGATGTAGCTGGTTTTTCTGCCAGTCCTTCAGGGTGGCTTAATTAATTAACATATAATATAGTTCTTTTCATTCTGAAAGATGCTGATACTGCTAAAGATTTTAATTAGGTCTCAATTCATGAAAGTGTATACATACATGCATGTGTGTAACAGCCTGCATTACACATGTCTGAAAAAATTCATGTTTCAGAGGTTTTATTATTTATCTCAAATACCAGTTTAAAAAATGTGAAAAGAACCTGTCATGCCTCTGTCCTGCTTCATGTTAGGGAAACTGTATTTTCTATAGATTAGGATCTTGAAGCTGATTGACTTAAATGTTAAAAAAAAAGTAGCCACCAATTTATTTTTTCCCTGCGTCATGTGGGAACCTTTGGTATCTAATGAAGTGTAGGCTTACAACATGGGTTTGCACAGTGGAAAAATTAAGAGGCTGTCACTTTTCCAGCAGCATGCATGATCACAAAATGTGTATGAACTCAATTATCCTTGAAACCCATTACCCACCTGTTTGTGAAAGTTGCTTGAAAATGGCTAATGGCTTCAAATGTTGGAAAGGAGAAAGTGGGAGAAAAGGTGAGAAGAAGGGTAAAAACGCCCTGCACACATGCGCACAGAAGCATTGATGTTATTGCATAAGTCTCCTTTCCTTAAGATACCAGGTGTAGAAGGAGTAGACAAAGAATGGAAAAGGGAAGCTAACAGAGGTCTGGAAGATGACATACGTGGGAAGGGCGTGTGGTCAGGTAGGTGTTTCGTGGAGATACAAAGGTTTTTTCGTGCGGTTTGTAAAGGGAGAGAGTCACAAGGTGGTTTTGAAGTAAGAACAGATAAATTACAAGAGAAACTGAGTAAAAACGGTTCCATTAATAGCAAATGTGTGTTGGAAAGGGTCTTGGAAATTACTGAGAGGTGAGACAATGGGACACTGAGGTCAATGTCATAGCAGGAAGTGGGGCAATATACAGCCCCAGTCTAAAGCAGTTCTTTAGTTCTTGTTTAACTTAGAACACTAAATTGAACAGCGCATGTGTTGAAAATTGCAGTGTTCTCAGGGAGAACAATAAGGAGTATTTTCTTCACTGGAGCCATAACTGAGACTTGAAGGTTCAAGGGACTGTGAAAGATGTGGCTTTGAAAGAAAAGAGTTGAAGCTGGAAGCTGATAGAAGTGGTTCAGCCAAGCCAAGGAAATATTTTTTTTTTAAAAGCAGAGAGAAGTGGTCTAGTTAATGAATTCCTTTTACTTAGTGTGTTTCTGATGCTTTGAGAAGGAAAGTGTTTTAGCAGTCAGTTGAAAAGTTGTGGTGTGTCTGTAGGCTTTTTTGCATTTATAGATATTGTTTCATCTGGTAACAGTCAATAATATTGTGTTGTATTAAAATTACAGTCAGTGGACATGTTACCAGTGAAGATTTCTTTTGCCAGGCTGGTGTTTCACACACTGTGTCTTTCATGAAATACAATCAGTGATCCTGCGGTGAAGTTTCTGTTGATATTTTGGTTGAAACTGCGGGCACTAGGCCTTTGCTGGACTTTCACTGTTGAAATTGATGCATGGGATGTAATACCAAAGTACAGTTCCTTCATTAGTAAGTATTTAAAGAGGCCCTTACCATTTCCCCAGCTGATATTGCCACAGTGCCTCTGTAGGTGTGGTACAGATGGCCTCCAGGGAAGTGGTCTGAACTGGGGAGAGGAAAGAAAGGGAATCACAGTTGTACTGGCCCAATCTGCAGCAGTACCCCAGAGAGCCATTGGCAGAAACTGATCTGAGGGAGTTGGTTTACAATCTACAGAGACCTACAGAGGAGGCAGCTTGAGCTCCACTTTTAAGTTTTCTGCAGGAACAGAGTCCAGATAACATGGACCTGTCTCCATCTCTTCCCAAGCTGTGAAGTACTTTTCAAAATACTACATATTAGTTATTGATTTTTAGTAGTCTTCTCCCTCCTGCTGCCTTGCTTCACATGTTGTGTTCAGTAAATCTTCACTGGGTAAACTTCAATAATATGTCAGTCCTGCTGCTTGTTTTTTAAGGTCAACAAAGTTTATTTGGGGCATTTCTATCTTCACTAAGAGCAATGACAGTAAAAATGTCATTATTTTCCTCATGAACCGTGAAACCAAACTAAATTGTAAAAGTATGAGGGAGGATGATGTGGTATTAGAAGGCAAAGCCTGCTATGCAATTTTGTTTAGAGAAACGCTGGAGGCTTTGAAATGTCAAATAGATTCCAGTTGTGTAATTTGAGGATCAAATTGTATTAACATCCATGCTTAAAGTAAAATAATATCATTTGCTGCCTTGATTCCATTCATCTTCAATAAGAGTGAGTTCATAAATGAACACAACCTTTTTAAATCAAAGTTTTGGGTAGAGTTCAGAACCTCAACAGTTACAATTTTGAAAGGAAAAATACCAGTGTTTTTGTACATCTTGGCTAATGTACTTTTTAAAAACACAATTATGATTCATAACCAAGCAGTTCAGTTACCTTTCATCCTTCAATACGCTCATGTGTCTCCTGAACTTCAGTAATAATCTGTGCATGCGTCTGTGGGTAGGCCTGCTGTAGTGTGTACCTACTGTACAGTTGCCATATACTGCATAAAAATGGACTTTGAATTGTGATTATACATCTGTGTCAAATAGCTTCTATGAAGCACCTTTTGGAACTTACCCAAATGCTGTCTACTAAGTCCTTATTCTTGTTGCTTTTGTTTCTTAAATTCTGTCTTGCTTCCAGTTTCTGTACTTTTATAAAAAAAATAAATAAATAATTAAAAAATACTGCTTTTCTCTCTAGAAAATATGGGCAGAAAGTACATGTTGTCGTATGATGTATTACATCAAATTAAAGCTGCTAGACTTGAGCATGCACCTCAAAGTTGATTCTATTTTATGAACCATCAGGACTGGGTTAGGAGACTAAGAGAAGAAAGAGGACATGAGAAGAAGCAGGTGGAGCTAAGGCAGTTCACATGGGTTTGTTAACGGACACTTCCAAATCTGCCCACACTAAAACATCAGTAATTCTGTGCAACCAAATAAAATTTAGAAACCCATTAAGAAACAGTAAAACTATATTTGTAGTTATCATTTGGACATGCTTATAGGAGAGTTCTTTGTACTGGAAACTTGTCTCTAGGCTTAAATGAGGAAGGCATAATACTAACCAGTGGTGTAAAACTCCTAAAGGTACCTATGAATATGTATACTCTAGGAAGAGATGAAAGAAGGCAGTTGGGGAAGGGACTAATCACCTAGCTTAATTTAAAGGCAACCACACTTAAAAGTGTTGTTTAGAGATCCTGGCAAATGGCATCATTTATTGTTAGTTTATTCAGCTGTTACAATCCTTGTGGTGCTTTGCCACCTTTTTGTTTTGTTTTTAATGTTTCAAACAGGTATATTAGGGAGAAGTGCAATCTTTGCAATGCTAATAATACCCCTAAAAAACCCATCATAACACTGATGAAGTAAAAATCTTGGCTCCTGTTAGACAAAATGTCAGTCCTGCCTAGTGTTTGGCTACTTCTTGAATACAGAATACAGGCCAAGTTGAGTTTGTACTTTAACAGAGATGTGTAGTGCAGAAATCAGATGACTGCCAGCCTCACTAACCAAATACCTTTTAGCAGAGCCTCTAGAAAGCAAGGAAGCATCTCATTCAGCAAGAATTTTAAACATCCTAATGGGAAGTTTTAGGGCATAGGATACATGTAGGGTAGCATCTCTAGATGCTGGATTACACTTTTCATTTTGCTAAGCACTTCTGATTGTAGCACAGCATGGGGGCATGTTAGATTATGCCTTTGGTTTAGCCTTTGCAGCTACTTCTGAGTCTTGATGCATCTCTGTCTCTAAATGCCATTCTTCCCCTTAGATAAAGATTTTACTTCTTCTGAGTCCCTCCAATGCTTTGAACCAGATACTAGATCAGGTGTCCAGAATCCCAGTGAATGAAACCAATGTTTTTCTGATCTTATTCACATCCGGACATCATTCATATCACAGGTGGAAGCAGTGCCTCTGGTTGCCTTTATGAGGGTGTTCCCAAACAAATGTAGAAGGAAAGGTGTTTTTTTTCTGGGGAAGTAAAAGCAGTCTGGAGGTAAACTGGAAGGCTGTGAGAAATAATGCTTTCATAAATGGAATTTCTTTAAGAGAAACTTAAAACCTGCAAAACCAAGGAGAGGTGAACATTTTCCATGGTTATGTGTCTTGTATTTTCCACTTTTAGTAGTACATTTTTGGGTATTCTTTGTGATTTTAGTATCTCTAGAAACAATGTATATTAAGCACATTGTGCACCAGTGAAGCAAGTGGATATATGCTATTGCTATTCAACATTTTTTTCCTTCTTTTTTTTTTAGATCACCTTTTGCTGCTGTCACAGATTACTCAGTAACAAGAAATAATGTCATACAGCTCTGTCTGGAACTAACAACAATAGTACAACAGGTATGAGACCATCTGCTTAGCAATTAATTTTTTTTCTAAATTGTAAATGGCCATTACCTTCTTCAAATGATTTTGTGTTACTCTGTCTATATCATTGTCTAAGAAAAAGAAGGGAATAATAGTACTTAGTAAATCCTGGTTTTATAATACTATTTTGGGTTGTGCTGTGTATATGCCTCTGCATATCTCAGGAGTAAGATTCATCTTGGGTTCTCTAGTCTAATATCACTATAAATTAGTGAAATCTATATGATACTTTACGTATTTAATTTCTTACATTTTTTATTTAATTTTTAATTAACTGTCTGGTTCAAAAAGTGTGTATGTATTTGACTTTGGTCATCTGCCCTTTCACACAATTCATATCATCTATATACCTCTTAAGATTACATGTCCCCATAAGGCTAGAATGTTTTGAATTCAGTTTTGTATATCCTACCTTCAAGAAATCCAGAAGTAGGTTCTGAGAAGCGTACACTTGATGGGCTTTGTTTGCAAGTACAGTCTATGACCCTTTTCACCCTTCTGTTGCTTCTCTGTTTGTGGTCTAAGTCTGTCCCTATCTTTACCTGTTGTTCTACTGAAACTGAGAAGTCTCTTTTTGTGCGAGTTCTAGCTAATATCTAGCTAAAATCTATCAAATTCTGTAGAAATAACCTAAGCAGCTAAAGTAGTTCAGTACAGTTGAGCGTCATCACTGCTTGCCTTTCTGAGACCAGTCTGCTACTGCTGACTATGAAGGGCCTTGGTATCCTCTTATACCACCAGTTGACTATGAGGTACAGCAGCGCCCATCGTGTGGAGGGAAAAGGGTCCAGAGAGGGTTGCCTCTCCTGGTGGTTCAGTAACAGCAGAGGGAAGGAACCAGTGCTGCCAAGCAGAAGTTTGAGGGGGTGTTCGCACTTGAGAAGATGGAGTGGAGGAAAAGGGAGACAGTGGGCTAGTTAGGAGCACTGAGGACACTTTTTCTGGTTTCCAGAAGCATCACTCCAAACTGAGCAAAGCTAAACTTCTCCCATTGCCTCTTGGCATGACACTTTGATGATACTCTCCCTTCTGTAAAATAAATGCATTTTCCTCTGACTCTTTCATAGAGATGTGCAATATGGCTGATCAGTTTGGTTTGCCTCTCATCTGAGTTGGAGAAGAGCAGTATTGCTAGTCCTGCGTTTTTCATGCGTTGTTAATAATAATGATTTTGCCTCAGTTATGTGTGGAGTTTTTGATGTGGAAATGGAGTATGGGCTGTTCCCTCCTCACAAGTCACAGCAAGGGTGCCTATTTGCTTCCCAGGCCTGAGGGCCAGGGGCTGCCATGCCAGTCACAGAATGAAAGAATGGTGGGTGTTGGAAGGGCCTTCTGGAGATCATCTAGTCCAACTACCCTGCAAAAGCAGGTTTGCCTAGAGCAGCTTGCACAGGAAAACATCCAGGCAGGTTTTAAAAGTCTCCAGAAAAGGAGACTGTACCAGTACTTTGTCACCCTCACAGTAAAGAAGTTTTTCCTTATGTTTAGGTAGAGCTTCCTGTGTTCTAGTTTGTGCTCAGTGCCCCTTGTCCTATCACTGAGCACCACTGAAATGAGACTGGTCCTATCCTCCTTACTGACGCCCACTCTTTAGGTACTTTTAAGCATTGGTAAGGTGCCTTCTCAGTCTTCTCCAGGCTGAACAGCCCCAGGTCTCTGGGGTGTATCCCACTGAGGTCCATGGATTTGTGCCAGTTTGCTAAATGATCTAAAACCCAATCCTCCTTGACCAAGGGAGAATCTTCCTTCCTCCAGACTTTCTCTGTTACCTCCATGGACTGGGATTCCTGAGGGCTGGCCTTAGCAGCAAAGGCTGAAGCAGAGAAGGCATTCGGTAACTCTGCCTACTCTGTATCCTCCGTCACCAGGGCTCCCACTCATTCCACAGTGGGCCCACATTTTCCCTGAGCTTCTTTTTGCTACAGACATACTTGAAGAAGCCTTTTTTGTTGTCTTTGACATCCCTTGCCAACTTTAATTCCAAGAGGGCCTTGGCCTTCTTCATTGCATCCCTACATACATTCTGGCAGCGTTCCTATATTCCTCCCAAGAGTCCAGTCTCTTTTTCTGCATACTATAAACTTATTTATAGTTTATAAATTCTTTGAATTTATCCAGAAGCTCTGTGTACGTCCATGTTCAGGTCCCTTGCCTCCTCTGCTTGGCTTTTTCACTCATATGAATAGAGTGATCTTGAGTTTGGAGTAAGTGGTGCTTGAGTATTAACCAGCTCTCTTGGGCCCCCCTACCTCCTAGAGTCCTAATCCATGGAATTCCTCCCAGTAGATACTATTTGAATAGGTACTATTTAGCTCTCCTGAAGTCCAGGATTGCAATCCTACTTAATGCCCTGCTTCTTCTTTGCACGATTCTCAACTCCACCATCTCATTGTCACTGCAGCAAACGCTATCCCCAACCTTCATGTCCCCAGCCAGGTATTCTTTGTTCATTAGTA